ACAGCTTCGTTGGACAGAGTAGCATCAGAGAGCTCTGTCCCCCTGCTTTAAATTAAATTGAACCCTTGCAAACAGGGTTTGACACACACACACACACACACGACACACAACCCCAAAAGGGAGCGGAGCACAATACCCGTGAAGGAACCTGCGCACATGATACCTTTAAAAAGGAACACAACACACACAAACAAACATCATGTTCAGTGGCAACGATCCAAAGGTTTCACAACGTAAAGAATCCGCAACTATTGAGGGTTGTGTGTACAATCTGTGAACTTTACATCCTCTGTACCTTCCAAAAACACACATGGCCATATCATGGCACTTGGTTATTTGTAAACTCCATATATATTTATACATATACGATGGATCTACGATTGGTTGGGCGTTCCGAGCTGCCGCTTGGGTGCTTCTCCAGAACGCCCACCGCGCCCGGAACGCTTGGCATGCGGCCCAGCGCACCTTAATGCACCGGCCAAGTCTTGCGTAGCGCCTTGACCCAACCTGACGGGGCCGTTTTTCGGCCCAACCAGAAGATCCAAACCGGCGCGGTTTGAAGGGACCAAGCTCCACCGAAGTTATGGGAAGTTGCTTCGTTTTTCTTGTGTGTGAATCAAGAAGAAGACTTTGGAGAGTAACATGTTGGAAATAGGATTGTCAGTGCATTTCAATAGGGAGACCCGCTGGCCTAATCGGTTGACTGGGTCGATGAGCCATGCCCATGTATAGGCCAGGCGGCCGGGATCAAAGGGCCATGATCGGCGCTCTGCAACCAACACCTCGTCAATGAGCCCCTAGTAGGGCGCTTTGTCAGCTATTGTCCTTTCCTTCACGGCCCCCTGAGTCCCGGACCGCCCCCCATCCCCGGTGGTGCCCATCGCAAACGCATCCGAACTCGGTGTTTTTCCGCCACGCAGGCCGAAGAGTGGTGGATCCTATAGGATTCACCTGTGAAGCTGCGATGTGTATACTATACACGTACATGTAAATGTAAATATACAATATATATAGTGCATGCTATGATCCTGATATTAATATTATAATGATATGACACGATCTGATTGGAATGGATAGGATCCATTGTGCATAGAGACTGGGCGCCCTTACTTTCGGCAAGATTTGCTTGTTCTGTGACTGTGTACCCCAAAGCCCCTCACGGATGTAGGGCAAGGAGACACACCATGAGCCAGATGGGTTCAGCACTACCACGGGATGTATTCTCGACCACAAGCCAATCCTAGACACTCTTTAAGCTCATGACGCTTAGGCGATTTAG